GCCACAAATTCCTTGAAAATTAAAATGGACCAAGTAAGAATCCAACGAAACAAGAAATATTAAAACAGAGTCAAAAGACTAAAAAAGTAGAAGAAACTATGAAGTATCTCGTGGCAAAAACAACTGATCTAAGAATAATTAGACCAACTGAACACCATTAACAAAAAAAGAACCTTGAGAAATATCATATTTTAAAAAAAAAAATCTTAAAAGAAAACTGCCCAAATCTCATAGATCCAGAGGACAAAATGGAAATAGATATCATCCACTGGACACCTCTGAAAATGAAAATTCCCGGAAATATAGCCAAAATTCAGAGCTTCCAGGTAAAAACACACAAACACACACACACACACACAAACACAAACACACAGATGGGTATAGAGACACATTTCACTCAACAAGGAAATAGGAAAAGAAGGGAAAAATAGAGGGAGAGTAGATTAAGGTAGCATTAGTCCTAAACAAAGCAAACCCTTAAGGATGTACAAAAATATTTATAGCTCTTTTTGAGGGGACAAGAATGGGAATCTGGGTGGGAAGGGGGGTGGCGTCATGCTGGGGAATGACTAAACAAGTTTTAGGATGGAATATTGTTGTGATGTAAGAAATGATGAAAAGGATAGTTTTGTAGAAACCTGGAAAGATTTATGTGAATCAATGCACTGATGTAAAGAGAATCAGAAAAACAATTTATACATTGACAGTAATATTGTCAAGACAAACAACTTTGAAAGTATGAGGATCAGCATAATGACCAACCACAATTCCAGAAGACTAATGGTGAAATATGCTACCTACCTCCTGACATAAAGGTGAAGGACTCAGTGCAGAATCATGCATGTATTTTTGGACATGGTCAGTATGGAAATGTGTTTTGCTTGACTTTACAAGATTGTAACTGGGGTTTTGTTTTTCTCAATTGAAAGAAAAAGAAATATAAAGAGAAAAAACTATTTACTGATAAACTGAGTCAACTGAATTATAGCTTCAGGCTCAATCTGTGCAATGTATACTTTATCCACTTTGTTTTTCCAGGGTGGATTATTACATCAGTCTTTTTTGAGTGACTATCACAAGAATATAGATTTAGATCCAGGAAAGTTCTTAAAAGTCATGTAGTCCAATCTCTTCATTTTATAGATAAAACTAAGACAGATTAAGTGATTTGCCCAGGGTCTCACAGGTCATATTAACAGAGCAGAGCACCAATTCAAACCCAGATCCTCAGACTCAGTTGAAGATCTTTTATGCTCCACTAGATCTCTTTGAAGAGGCACTGTAATGTTCCAGTGCTTAATGAAATCAGCAGAATATCACCCACAAACAAGTGCACCTATAGAATTTCTTTCCTACATGCAGTCAGCCCAAGATACCGTCCATATTAGTATCTGCAGGGCTGAGAAAGGAAGACATGTACAAGTGGATATTCCTTCCCTACTTTATGCCTTTCAGAAAATGCCAAGAAATGCGAGGGATTGGTTGCATTTTGAAAAGGAATATCAAGATATAGGCAGAGAGTTGGTATAGTATAGGCTCTGTTGGAAGCCACCCTAAGGGCAGTATTAGAACGTTTAAAAAGTTCACGGTTGTACTGAGTATGTTTTGGCGTGAAAGCAGATGGTTTGTGAGTTCAGAGGCTGGGCATCCATAACAGTTGTTTTGGTGTGCATTCTATTTTTAAGAGTAGAGTAGGAGTTTATGGGGGCAGGCAGGGAGTCTGGGAGCTTGTAAATATTGTCATTGTAGGGTTGGGCAGGAGTTGTGCCTTGGTCAACTTGAGGTTTAGTTAGTAATCTGCCACAATATAACATTAGCTCAGTTAGGCTTCAGATTCAGATGTACTGGAAAAAAATCTGATCTTACAGTTTTTATCAACAATGACTGCTTTGCACTGGGATATCGATAGGGGAACCAGCAACCAGACCACAAGCCCTGACCCACAAATAGCCGTGTACACACCCACACATCAAAATGACCATACCCATAGGTTGTAAGCCTCCACCCATACTCATATTCAACTGTCACACTGAAACACACTTCTAAAATGTACAGTGCTTGGCCACATGTACTCTGCAGCACGTGTGCTGAAAAACCTATCTAAAACACATATTCACTGTAACTGCTACCTTCACACCAACCCTTTCTCACTCTCTGCTGTTAAACCAAAATGCATATCAGAAACTGTGGGCTCCAGCCTTCAAACTCGCTGTCATAGCCTCCTTCTCTATTCTTAAGCCAAGACACATGCCCAGTGCACACATTCACCACAACCACTGCCTTTTCTTCCACAATCTAGCATTCACTGCGCCCAAGGTTAGCTCTCCACCACCACTAGCCTGGATATAACATTCCTCAATCCTACTTCCTATGGCCTCCATATATTTTATCACAGAATTGTAATCCCTTGCCCCTTCTTTCCAGCCACCCCAGTGGTGACATGGGAGGAGAGAGTCTTCCTTCACAAAAAAAGTGTCTGTATCTGTATCTGTCTTCCCTCAACTTCATAATATCTCAGTGTCCTGAAACCCTTTGGCACTGGTAAATATATCTGTGAGCACGTCTCCTTCTTACACTCTTTGATGTAGATACATAGCAAATAATTGGGAAAAGTTAGCTCCTGAACAAATCTGTCATTAGTCTTGAGCACCACGTGCAAAGAAAACATCTTGTTTGAGGAAAGCCTTTAAGGCTGCGTTTTGTTCTTATAAGTCTGAAGTGTGTTTGCAATAAGCAAACACTTGACACAGCAGGTTCTTATATTCTCTACACCTCTCAGTCATGTGATGCTAAGTCTGTAGTTTGTTGTAGAAAATTTTCTCCTAAATTCTACCTCCACCCTTCTCATCTTTTCATCAGTGATATAGTCAGTACATATACATAAATAATCCTCAAAAGCATTTTATAGTAATGAGCAAGCATTGGTGACTTGCTGATGCCTTCTTGATCTTCAAAAAAAAGTAATGATAATAATAATAATGACAATAAAAACAGTGGTACCATCTGTGATCTATTCCACTCTTTTAGAATCTTCCTCTCTTTAAGATCTCAGCATATCTAAAACTAAACTTATCTTTCCCCCTAAATGCTCCCTTCTTCCAAATGTCCCTATTTTTTTTTGTCACCATCCTTATAGTATAATATAGTATATTTATATCACCATCCTTATAGTACAATGTAATCTTGGTATTATCTGGATTATCCTCGCTTTTCTTCACACTACATATCTGATGAGTTGCCAAATCTTGCCACTTCTTCCCTCACAACATCTCTCATCTCTGACCCCTTTTCTTCACTCACATAGCTACCACCTTAGTTCAGGCCCTCATCACCTCCTAAAGCCCTCCTGCCCAAAGCATCTTCCCACTCCATTCCATCCTACACACTGCTGCCAAAATAATTTTCTTACCTTTAAATCTGACCGTATGATTCTCCTACTCAGACAACTCCAATGGCTTCCAACTGCCCTCTGAGATAAAATATAAACAACTCCATTTAGCTTTTAAAGACCTTCACAACCTAGCCCTAACCATGATTCCCATCTCACGCGATACAATCCAGTGCAGCCAAATTGTTCCTCTCTGTGTTCTTCCCACATGTTGCTTCAGACCCCATCTCTGCCTTTGTCCTGGGCCTCCCCCATGCTTCTCATGCACACTCCTTCTGCCTCCACCTCACAGTGCTTCTTTCTTCCTTTAAGATGGAGCCTTGGTACCATCTTCTGCATGAAGCCTTTCCTAACCCTCTTAACTACTTTGTATATTTTTTTATGTATTAATGTTACATTTGTGGTGTATATATTTACTCGTTATCTCCTCCATTAGAATGTAAGCTCAATGATAGTAGAGATTATTTCTTTTTGCACAGTAGCTGGTATGTAGTAGGAGCTTAATAAATACTTGATTCATTATAAATCTGTTCACGAATGACTTTAAAATTACGTCATCTCCAACAGAGATTTCTTCCATGTATGTTTGGTAAAATCTATCCGCTCATCCCAGCTGCCATTGTCACTTTCCATACAACTTGGATACTGTAATTGTAGTGCTTGAAAACTGAGATGTGGTGGAATACAAAGGTGCTGGTTTCATTGTCATTACTGACAAGACTAGATCATTATAAAAATGCTGGCAAATCTGTTCTATTCTCCATGTATTTGTTATCCTTTCAGTTTCATGGATAGATGTTCTAAGGATGATCTGGCTTACTGTATGGTCTCAAGTCAGGCTCTTTTCAAACTCTCTGTCACCTTAACTACTTTTCAGTGTCTTGCAAAGCAGTACTGCTTATAATCCATCATCAATCTATTCCATAGTGTTTTGAAATGAGTTTGTACTCTGAAACAATATTGGCTGTCATTTCCATTTTTTGGCAAGATTAAGTATGTATTGTCTGGTGCATGATTAAATATGTATTGTCTAAGCTCTTTTGACCTACTTATTATGGTGACTATTTGCTTCAGGTCCACATGTACTAAAATTGGAATCATAAAGAGATTAGAATTTAGTTTCCAAGTAAGAAAATGGAAACAATAATAGTATTAATTTTCAAAAAACTGTTAAAGAAAATTACAGTGACTCCTGATTTTCCATACCTGTGTCTTTTTCATAGCAACCCAGGCCTCCTTTACTTTTTTGTCCCATTTTCCTGATCATATCTAAGGCCTAGACTGCTAACAGTAAGACTGAGCAGGGAACAGAGTCAACAGATTGAGGAGCTGAAAACATAAATGTGTGAGTTTATGTCTGTAACTGAATTCCAAAACCATATTAGATAGCTCATTTTAAATTACCTATTGAGTGGTATTATTCTTTATTACCATGTCATACTAATTGAAAAATAGGCTATATTACTCTAGAATTTTTATTCCTTGCATGAAGGTAAACATGATACTATATATTTCATAATTTGCTGTTTTGTTTGGGTTTATGATGGAGACAGTTGTAAGATGGCCTTGTTCATTTTTGTATTATAACAGTATATGTATGATCTCTTTTTAGGGTGGGAGGATTAACTGGAATCGATTTTTTCCTCATATACGTCAGAGACGGAATGCAAATGCTCGAGATGTTCGACAGTCTGAACAAGAAGTAGCAACACCTCCTCTTGAGGTTTCTGAGGAGCAGGTAATCTTAGATTGAGTGTACCCTTACAGAGGGAAAATGATTTTCAGCACCTGAAAGTAAAATGTGGGGATCTTGATCAAATTTTTTTTTAACCAGCAGCCCCTAGCATTGCAGTTTGGACTCCTGTTATGTGCTGGCAAGTTTGAGAAAAGCTTGATAAATTTTGAATTGTGTTTGACTGAAAAAAATAGCCTACAACTATTGTAGACCATTATCACAATTAATACTTTGATATTCCCTTCCCTGTATGGTGTTTGATAGTCACTGTGTAGAGTAAGCGTGTCTGTCACATCCCCCATCCAGACATTTCCAGGTAAACCTTAATTGAGGAACCTAGCCTTTGAAGCAACAGTGTGACACCTTGAGCAGATTTTGACATCTTGACTAGAATCTGAAAGTATACCCCATGACAGTGGTGTCCAACTCAGATGGAGGCACATTGACTTAGAAAACCACAAATTAACATTTATCTATGTTGTATTGTATTTTTATTTGTTTTGCTAAACATTTCTCAATTACATTTTAATCTGGTTTGGACCATAGTCAGGAATTTTGAGGGCTGCAAAGAGTAAATTTGGCACCTCTGTCCTATCCTGTCATTGCCAGCATCCTTGGTTACTTGTAGACTAGACCATAAAAACTTCTGCAAAAAGAAACTGCTTTCTCTAATTCAGTAAGCGTTTATTATGTACTTCATAGTCCAGGGACCATGATAGAGATAGAAAAACAAAAGTCTCTCTTGGGATCTTAGCTTCTGCTCAGGAGGAAACCACATGTCCACAGATAAGTAAATACAGCCACTGAAAAAATTTCGAGGGGTGAGAGAGATAGGAAGGGCCTGCTTAAGAAGTTGAGCTCCCTTGAAGTGAGTCTTAAAGAGAGCTGAATCCCAAAAGGCAGAGAGGAAGTGAGGGAAAGAGGGGGAGGGCAGTCCTGGCTCAGTAGACAGCCTATCCAAAGGCAGAAGGCGGGGTGTTGTCCACAGTCAACCACAAACAGGCCAGTATGGCTGGAACATAGCACTTACAATGTGGAAACAGTCTGGAAATATTAGTTAGACATTGCTTAATTATGTATATTTACTATAAGAGTTTTGATTTTCATCTTGTTGTTTTTCCCTCCAGTGGGAGGCAGGGCAGGGAAAGGGCAGGAGAGACTGACAGTGGGAGACTATTGCAGTTGTCTAGACAAAAGGTGATGAAGGCCTGGACTAGGTTGTTTGTGGTATGAGTAGAGAGAAGGGAACAAATGCAAGAAATACTGAGGAGTTGGAATCAGGGGAGCAAGGGAGAGTTAAGAGTCACCAGTGACTCCTGAATTGTAAAACTAAGTAACTGGAAGGATGGTTGTACTCTCAACAAGAAATAAGGAAATTAGGAGGAAGGGTGAGTACAAGGGGAAAGATACTTATCTTTTAGACATGTTGATCTCAAGATGTCAGTGGGACACCCAGGTGGAAACATCCAAGAAGCAGTTGGTGAGACAGAACTACAGGTCAGGAGAGAGATGAGGGGCCAAGTATGTAAGTTTGGGAGTCATCTGCATAGAGATGATACTTGAACCTGTGGGAGCTATTGAGATCACCAAGAGTGAGTACAGAGAGAAAAGAGAAGCAAGGCCAACACAAAGACCCAAACTATACGTGTGTATAGAGGCCGGACCTGCTCGATGATCCAGCAAAGGATACTTAAGGAAAAGTCAGACAGGTGAGAGGAGGGAGGAGGAAGGGAAAGTGTCCAGAAGAAGGGTGTGCTCCAAGTGTCCAGAAGAAGGGTGTGCTCATCAATTTTACATTTCTTAGAGAGGTCCAGAAGAATGAGAACTGAGAAAAGGCCTTTAGGGTTTAGGAGTTAAAATGATGGTCAGAGCTTCAGGAGAGTGGTTTTTGTCAAATGGTAGAATAAGAAAAGAGGCAGCTAGGTGGCTCAGTGGATAGAGTGCTGTGCCTGGAATCAGGAAAACCTGAGTTCAAATGTGCCCTCCAACACTTAGTAGCTACGTGACCCTCAGCAGGTCACTTAACCTCTGTTTGCCTTAATCCACTGGAGAAGGAAATGGCAAACCACTCCTATATCCATGCCAAGAAAATCCCATGGGCAGTATTGATGTGCTATTATGATCCATGGGGTCACAAAGAGTCAGATACAACTAAAGAACATCAATAGAATAGGCAAATCACAAGGGGTTTAGAAGTGAATGGGAAGTGAGAAAGTCGAGGCAAAAAGTGTGGAACCAGACTTTTCTAGGAGTTGGCAGTGAGAAGGAGATGTAAGATGATAACTTGAAGGAATGGTAGAGTCAAAGGAAGTTTTTTTTAAGGATAGGAATATTTATAAGTAGCAGTAAAGGATCCAGTGGATAAGAGTTAGGATAATGAAGATAAGAAAAGGAGAGAGGGGCTGATTGAAGGTACAGAGGAGAAGGTAGTAGGTAGACGGTCTGAATACGTCTACTCCATGTTCTTTCCCGGTGTGTTTTGCCAGGGTGAAATCATGAGAGAAGGTGGACCCAGTACTGGAGAGGGTGGCTAGGGAAGCATTCTGTTGTTAGGGAGCTAACATCCATGTTTGCAAAAAACATGAAAGGAATGTGAGAGGAAAAAAGTCTCATACAAAGAAAAGTTGGTTAATATTGAAAGGAAGGTTAGGAATGAAGTAAATGGGAATGAGAGAGGGGAGAGTGGTTGCTAGGGAAAACAATTTTTGACTCTGAACCAGAGTCAAATTTGAAAAAAGTTCAAATTAATTTATTTTAAGTTTTCAACATTCACTTCCATAAGCTTTTGAGTTTTCTATTTTCTCTACTTCCCCTCCCCAAGAAAGAATGCATTCTGATATAGGCTCTACATATACATTCATATTAAACATATTTTCACATTAGTCATGTTGTAAAGAAGTATTAGAACCAATGAGAGGAATCATGAGAAAGAAGAAACAAAACAATAAAAGAAAAAAAGAAATCAAATAATATGCTTCGATCTGCATTCAGACTCTGGATGTAGATAGCATTTTCCGTCATGAGACCTTTGGAGATGTCTTAGATCTTTGCATTGCTGAGAAAGGCTAACTAAGTCTATCAAAGTTAGTCGTCGCACAAGGTAGCTGTTACTATGTACAATATTCTCCTGGTTCTGCTCACTTCACTCAGCATCGGTCCATACAAGTCTTTCCAGGTTTCTCTGACGTCCACTTGCTCATCATTTCTTATAGCACAATAGTATTCCGTTACATTCATATACCACAACTTGTTCAGCCATTCCTCACAGTAAGAGAATTTTTGCTGATGTGATTTCCTCACGCTCTTTAACCTCCTTGCCCCTCACCTACACTCAGGCTTTGGTCTTGGGTTGGTCCAGGGAACTTGGCTGTAAGGAGCTGGTCTAGATGACTAGATGATTGTGGCTGGTCATATCTTCGTTTTCTTTAGTGTAATTTCTCCATCCCCTATAACTACATCCAGGACTATAATGTTAGGATCTTGGTGTGTAGGTTATGGAGAGCTGAGGGCAGTTGTGCTCTCCACTTTTCTCATTACAGTGTATTTATTTTCTATATATCTGTATTTGCTTATTTCTGAAAGTGTTGTATGCCATCCTTACCCGCTCCCCCCATATAAAGTATCTTGAGGGTGAGGTCTGAGAGGGAAAACCTTATTTTAAATTTTCTTGATTTATTGATTGTTTACTCTCCCTCTGCAAGGACAGTCTTGCCCAAGACCTCAGCTATTAGTTTGATTAGGGGCAGGGGGGGTAGTCTGCTAATTTTAATCAGTAAGTCCTCCTCATCCCCATGCTTTATTATTCTGCATCTCAGACAATCATTTCAATCACTCAGAAGCATTAGTGAAAAGTTTATGGGTGCAGTGGATAGAGCTCTGGCCTTGGAGTCAGGAGGACCCAAGTTCAAAGCCAGCCTTAGACACTTGACACTTACTAGCTGTGTGACCCTGGGCAAGTCACTTAACCCCAATTGCCTCACCAAAAAGCAAAAAAAAAAAAAAGGTTACAAGGCCTTGGGTAAAATTTTTCTCTGTATGAAGAATTTCCTAGACCCAGGGAATACATTACATAAGTCATATTAACAGACTACTTGGTTTGGGGGTAAGTTTCCCAATGGAAACTCTCTATAATCACAAAGCTTTTAGTGGTAGAAATCAACGTGCCCTTTAGGGGGAAAAATGTGGCACAGTAGGCAGCCACAGGGCAAGAAGAAAATGAGTTCCGTTATATCACTGCTTGTTTGACATATAAACTATGAGTCATATGTGTGACCCTGGGCAAGTCACTTAACCCCATTGCCTAGCAAAAAACAAAACAAAACAAAAAAAAACTGTGAATCATAATCTTGATAGGAGCCGTTATAGACATGACACACTTTAAAGGGTGAGAGATTTTTGGTTTTGTCACTTTTCCTAATGTGTCCAAAAACGACACCATTACCTAAGCATAGCATATACATACATGTACATGTACGGGCCTATTGAGGATTACATGGTTGTTTTTCAACACTTTTCTTCATCCTGTCAGAATAACAAACCCTATGATGAGTTAGTCATTGTCAACGTGCATTGAAAAGGATTCAGAGCCCTGTTGTGAAGAAAATAAGGAGAAAAACTGTTTTATTCAAAACTTTCCTCTTAAAAGACTTTTACTTGTTTATTTGTTTTTTAAGGTAAGGGTTAAAATGTGATTGAACTGATGATCCATAGAATCCCAGAGTTTAAAAGAACCTCAGAAATCATCGAGTCCACATTTCTAATCCCCTGTACAACACACCTGTAAAGTGGTTATTCATCTGCCTTTGAAAGCAGCCCACCACATTTTTAGACAGCTCTCATTATTGGAAAGTCCTTCCTTTTATTGAGCTAAAGTCTGTCTCCCTGTTCTGTGTTCTTGAGCCACACAGAATTAAGTATACTTCTTCAACATGGTACCCCTTCAAGGTACCATGTGTTTCACTTTATCAGTACTCAGTCACTGAAATGGGAGTTCTCTCCAGTGA